CCTGCACACCGGGAGAGACCCCAGGCCGCGGGGCCTGGACCAGCAGGCACAGAGGCCGAGCCCGTGGGCTCAGCGGCTGTGAACCAGCTCCTGCTACAGCTGCGAGAGGAGCTGGCTGCCGTGTGGCAGGAAAAGGATGCTGCTCGAGGGGCTTTGTCAAGACCATTCCTGGAGGGAGCCCCGGGGACGCCTCAGGCCGAGGCCGCAGCTGCCGCCTGGGAGAAGATGGAGGCCAGGTTGGAGAAGGTGCTGGTGAGGCTGGATCGGGCCAAGGCGGGGCTGCAGGCGAAATCTGAGGCCCCTCCCCAGGAGTTCAGAGAGGGACCCCCGAAGGCACCCCGGAGGATCACTGCGACCTTGGCTGAAGGCAGGGAGAAAAGGGCTCCCGGGGCCCGGGGAGAGCCTCTCGGGGCTCCTGGAGGGGAGCCGGGCCCGGGGGGCCTGGTGAAGGGACAGCTGGAGAAGGAGGTGTCGGCACTGAGGCTGAGCAACAGCAGCCTGCTGGAGGAGCTGGGGGAGCTGGGGCGGGAGCGGCAGCGACTGCAGGGCGAGCTGCAGACCCTCAGCCAGCGGCTCCAGCGGGAGTTCGTGCCCAGGCCGGAGGCCCAGGTCCAGCTGCAGCAGCTGCGGCGGAGCGTGGGGCTGCTAACCCAGGAGCTGGCGCTGGAGAAGGAGGCCACGGAGAAGCTGCGCGAGCGCCTGGCTTCCCAGAGCAGCGGCCTCCGCGGGCTGTGGGACTGCCTGCCCCCGGACCTCGTGGGCAAGGGGGCAGCGGGGAGCACGGCGGCCCAGCCCCTGGAGGAGCTGCAGGCCTGTGTCAGCACCCTGGTGGAGCGGCACCGCCAGGCCCAGCAGCTGCTGGCTCGGCTGGAGGAGGAAAACCAGCAGCTGCGGGGGTCCCCGGCCCCACTCGGGGAGCCAGGCCCCTCCTCGAAGGCCCCGGCAGCTCCCCAAGTCGCCGCTTTGGAGCAAGACCTGGGGAAGCTGGAGGAGGAGCTGCGGGCCGTGCAGGCCACCATGAGCGGGAAGAGCCAGGAGATCGGGAAGCTGAAGCAGCTGCTGTACCAGGCCACGGAGGAGGTGGCTGAGCTGCGCTCGCGGGAGGCGGCCAGCTTGCGGCAGCACGAGAAGACTCGGGGCTCCCTGGTGGCTCAGGCCCAGGCGTGGGGGCAGGAGCTGAAAGCGCTGCTGGAGAAGTACAACACGGCCTGCCGGGAGATGGGGCGGCTGCGCGAGGCCGTGGCGGACGAGCGGCGCCGCAGCGGGGATCTGGCTGCGCGCGCCACCGAGCAGGAGCGCCAGGCCAGCGAGATGCGGGGCCGCTCCGAGCAGTTCGAGAAGACCGTGGAGGTGCTGAAAGAGAAGATGGAGCACCTCATCGGGGCTTGCCGGGACAAGGAGGCCAAGGTGAGCAGGAGCGAGGCGGGAGCCCAGCTGGAGCACCCAGGGCCCCGGGCGAGGGCCCTGCCAGGGCGCCGCCTTCCGGCCACCCCGCACCCCCTGGGTCAGTTCCACGCTCCGACAGGACCGCACAGCCCGGGTGCAGCGGGCGGGGCGGCCGACCCGACGGTGAGAGCCCCGGCTTAGGCTTGGCCCGCGGCAGCGGTGTCTGCTTTATTAGCCTTTGCATTAAGCAGTGCGTGAGCCGGGAAAGGCGCATGGCGGGTCGCTGTGGTGTGTCGCTCTGCGCGTGACTCAGTGGCCACAGGGGTAGAGGAAGAGGCCACGCAGCCTCCCGCTCGTCCCCTGCCATCCATCCCGTGAGGCTGTGCCGGAGAGGGCGCCATTGCCCAGCAAAACCGAGAAATCACGTTAGATCCCTGCAGCCCCACTGGCTGCCAAGTCCAGTCTCTAAGAGATATGTCTTATGAATTCCAAGTAATCAATTAAAAATGAAGGTAGTAATCCTAGAACTGTGGAATGAATGAATTCAGGCGTGTTAAAATTTATGTACGTCGTCAAATTTAGAACAATGAAAACCGTGTAGAAAGTGCATGAGCTGAGTCTCCCCGGGAAACAGCCACTGGGGAGCAGCCTTGTGGGATTGTGACTGCTCGTCAGTTGTTTCGAGGGTTGGCCTGAGGATTTTTCTGTATTTGGTGGATTTGCAAGACCAGTGACTATTTTGCAAAGGCCCTCAGCCTCCACACCCCGAGCCTTGGCCCCTGGATACCTTCCCACACCTTGCTTCACGACTGTGTCAATCTCTTCTACCCCACCTCCAGGTCTGGACTTGCGCCTCCTGCCCAAATCTCCCACTCTCGGCCTCTATCATTAGCCATTGCTACAACACCACCATCCTGGTGGCTGCTGGTTATCATTAACTGCATTTTGCCTCAGCCTCCCAAGCCACAAAAACTCAACCCCATTTCTCTCTGTAATTGGCTGCCAGAAGTAGTTCAGGATTCAGGGCCGGAGCCACGAGTTCAAAATGATCTTGGTTCAAACTGTGATTTTCACCCCTTGTTATCTGTACGATTTTGGCAAATTACTCAGGCTCCTCATCTATGTTCTTCTTCCCTCAGAAGAACATTGGTCTTCTCCGCACATAAGAAGAGCTGTTTTGGGCTTTTATGAGAGAATGTGGGTTAGGTATCCAGAACATACTAAGTCGCCCATGAGAGGAAGCTGACCTTGATCCAGTAGTGTTGGGGTGAGAAGTGACTTGGGCCTCATGGGTTCCCCTTTCCTTCCATTTGGTCTCAGATCAAGGAGTTGTTAAAGAAGCTGGAGCAGCTTTCGGAGGAGGTTCTAGCAGTTAGGGGAGAAAATGCTCGCCTTGCCATGCAGGTGCAGGTATGTTGTGGCTCCGAGCAGTGGACACTGCTGGAGAAGAGGTTGGCGGAGGGTGTGAGGAGTAGGTGGGGGCGGTGGGGGGCGGTCACGGTGGAGGGCAGCGGAGCTGGCAGGGCAGGGGGTGCTGTGGAGGCCAGTCTGGCACAGCTGACCACTTGACTTGGGGGTCAGGGTGTGGGGGTCAGGGTGGGCGTAACCTCTCACTGATACTCCCAGGATTCACAGAAGAACCATGAAGAGATCATCTCCACTTACAGGAATCACCTGCTGAACGCTGCTCAGGTGAGTATGGTGGAGATTTCGGGGAGGCGGAAGGCGGGGCGGGGGTTTGCATTTGGGGGCCCCTTTTCTTACCAGCACACACCTGTTACTCCTCAGAGAGCTGGATTTTAGATGTTCTCGTGTCAGGTCTCTGGGTCTTCTGAGACCCTGAGAGGTTGTGCAGGAATGTGGTGGCAGGGGGAGGGCGCGCTGAGCGCCTCCCGTTCGGTTCCCTGCCTGCCATCAGGCCTTCCCCTGCATTCTTTGGCGCCTTTTCCTAGTTCTGTCTGACGCCACGCGGAGGAGGGCAGAGGCCACCTAGGCCTTGCCAGGGGGAGGAGGTGGGCAGCTCAAGCCTCCTTTACACATAATAACGGAAAAGAATCGAGCACCTGTTGTGCACCAGGTGGTGTATTTCATTTCATAGTTGTAACACAGCATTATTGACAAAAAGCCAACAGCATTATTTCCCCTGGAAAGATGAGGACAGGCCCTGGCGAAGTGAGAAGCTACCAGGAAGGCACCTTGCCAGAGTGGTTTAGCCTACCAGCGCCTCCTGCCGGGCGTCCTCATTTTCTGCTCTTCACCTCCTTTCTTCTCCTTCCTGCCACCCACAGGGCTACATGGAACAGGATGTGTACAATATCCTCCTTCGGATCCTCAGCACGCAGGAGGGGTGAGCAGCGTGTGCCCCCGGGACTCGGGGTCTCTGTTACGACTTGCGGGTGGAGAGTGATGGCAAAGGAGCGCAGAGGAAGCACCTGGGGAAGGAGGCTGAAGGACTGGGGCTGGGCTCCTTTGCCTCTAGGGGTGGCCGACAGCAGGGAGACACCACTTGGGGGATCAGGAGAAGAACACCATTTGGAACCAGGAGTCAGTGAGCAGGTAGCCTGGAAGGGCTCTTCGTTAGGGGGTGCAAACGGAAAAGAGGACTTGAGTGATTGTCCTAAGGGCTGAAGTCCAGTTACCAGGAAAGACGAGTGTTGATGGGACGGTAGTGAGAGCAGTTTCTACAGTGGGATTCTACAAGTTCCAGAATCTCTTCTTCAACCCCACACCGCTCACTGCGTAGTCACCCTCAGTTTTCTTTTAAAGCTTTATTTATGCAGACAGAACTGGGGTGCAGGCCAGAGGTGCAGGGGCAGTGAGAGGACTCAACCAGAGGCAGAGTGGGGAGCAGAGCAGGATAACTGATGAAGCACACTGCTGAGGGAGCAGCTGGCGGGCCAGGAGAGGTCTGCCACGCCCTGTGGGTCGCCTCCAGGGCGGTGATCGAACTCGCACTGAAGTGGTTTTAGCTTCTCAGTGCTGTGCTGTAACCCGCTGCGCCAGCAGGGAGGGCCCTCACGCCTCAGTTTTCTTCCCACCCCAGTGCAAGTGGCCATCACCTGCAGTCCAGATTGAGGAGGTCCCGTTAGCATCTTGGCATGGGTAGGTGTGAGGATGCTGTGGTTGCGCATTTCACCCTTGGGTTTCTTCTTTCAGGGAGTAAGCCGCCCTCGGTTGCCAGAGGCTCCATCAGGCTGTGGTGGAGGGCGGGATGGGGAAGGGTGGCCACTGGGGTGGTGTGGGGGGCATCGCTGACATTATGGACCCCAGAACTGAGAACCTGAAGCCTGGAACCCGTGGATGTGAGCAGAGGAGCCATGGCTGAACGCCAGCTCGGTGGAGAATAAAGCAGGAGGCAGGATGGTGCTGATGCAACTCTTTCTTCTGTCTGAAGGGGAGCCGGGGAAGGGATTCTTTTTAATTCCTTTTGGATCACAATGGCCCCATCGGTCAGCAACTTTCAGACTTTGGTTCGGATCCATAATAAGAAATACATTTGACACTGTTACTACACGCGCTCTTGAAACGCTATTTGCCTTCGCACTCCTGAATTGTTCTCTGCTGTGAGGTTTACACTGAAAGCTGCTGGCGGTGTGCACGGTGGGGCTGTACCAGGGTGGTGCCCAGGAAAGGGGAGGTTCCAGGTCCCCTTGTTCTGGGACCACCCCGTTACAGGGCAAGACAAGTTCGACAAACAGCGCCCCTTGAAAATGGGTACTGAAACCTCAAACCTGTCTCTGAAGGGCCTGCACAGACCCCCCCCACCACACACACCTTGGGTCCACTGTCTTTTTGTAAGAGGAGAGATCGAAAGACTGGGACTTTCCTCAAGATGCGCAACCTAACATGCACCCTCACGTGTCCTGTCTCCAATCGCGTTTCTGGAACTGGGCGCGGGCAGGGCCGCCCTGATCCCTGGTTGCCCCGGCGCCAAGGGGACCAGAGCGCTGACCTCCGGGGCCGGGGGAAGGTAAAGTCAGAATTGGCCATTTCCCTCTAGGCCTGTTTTCAGTCTGGAAAAAAAAAAAACAACCCTTCCGGGGCCACTTCAGGAACCCCCCTTGCTGCACCTCCACCAGCCAGACCGCTAGATGAGGCTGCGCCTAGCGAGCGCCTGGGAGTGCGGACGCGGCCGCCGGCCGGCCCCGCCCGCGCCGCCCTGCCGGGTTATGCTGGGTCAGCCCGCAGCGGCTTGGCAGGAAGGAGGCCGGGGTGGGAGCCCGGCGAGGAGGGGCTGCCGGGCCGGACGGGGCCGCGCAGGGGCTCCGAGCGCTGAGCCGGGAAAGAGAAGCTCCGCACTTCAGATCCCAGAGTGGAGGAGGGTCAGCCTGGGGGCGTGTGGGTGGGACAGCCCCCCCTGGGCTCGACCGGGAGGGAGGAGGGGTGGCGGAGAGGGCCGAAAGGAGCGGCCCCAGCGGAACACCACCAGCTCGCAGTCACGTCTGTTAAGGGGGACAGAACCTCCCTTAGTTCCTGCTCTTAGCCGTACCAAAGCATATGCAAGGAACAGAAATGTCTTGCATGTGGGGTGTGGGGTGGGAAGAATGAAGCTGATAGGAGCAGGGTCCAGAGAGGGGAAGATCATTTGGCTCAGCTCAAGTGAGTGAGTCAGGAAACAGCTTTGGCTCCTGCAAGCTTATTCCTGGACGGCGGCTGCAGAGCGTGGCAGTGGTGAGTGATGTTAGCATTAACCCAGAATGAAACCTTCCCCAGTCCCTGCTTCCCCGCCCCCCCCCCCAGCCTTACCCTCAATGACCCAGAAACTGCTACAGCAACACAGTAAGCCCCAAGTCCTCCCCACAGTAACACACTATAGTTCTAGTATTCCCCCCACTCCTCCTGGGTTGTCTGTTTAGCGGCTTCTTGTCCCTCAGGCTTCAGAGGTAGCAGAGTAGGTGAGAGTAGGTGGCGGTGACCTCCGCAATGGGGTCAGGCTGGTCTTCGCTCGCCCTCAGGCTGGGGCTTGGCCCTGAGTTGCAGTCCCTTCCTTTGCCCAGTAACATTTATTAAGTTGCGATTTAAAGAGCCTTCTATGTGCCAGACACCGGGTAGAAGGCAGACAGCGCAGAGAAGGTTCTTGTCCTGACGGGGCTGGGGCTGGGCAGACTCAGCCCTGGGGCCAGTGTTCTGTTACCTGCAGAGATGCTAAACCGTGAAACCTCAGATTAACGATTAAAGGAGATTTTTCCTTTATGAAATCACTAGGAATCAAAGTGAAGTCGGCTTTCTTCTTTTCTCTGACATTTTTACGTTTTGAGCTATAACTAACATATAATCAACCACATATACAACTTAGACACTCATAGAACCATCACAGATCATGTCAGTCACGTCCAGACTGCCCGCCTCTTTTAACATAATAGTTTATTTTTACATCATTTTGTACATTTTTTTCCCATCTCAATTGTAATCCCTGTGGGTTTCCCATCACCGCCTCTCTTTTTTTTAATCCTCCCTGTTTTTGTTCCCCTCAAACTACTGAAAATTCTGGATGATAGAAATGACCCATAAAAACTTTGGATCTATAAGGCTGAACTGAACAAAAAAATGAGCTCAGGGTCTCGTGAAGCAGTAAAGGGAGCAGATGGGACTTAGACCCAAGTTCTGAGGGGGAGTGCGGCCTGAAGTCCTGCTGGCAGAACAGCCAGGAAAGGACCTGAGGAGAGGGTGGACATCTTTCCTGGGAGCAGATCCAGCAAAGACCTGGGGTATGGGTGGACTGACTCCTGTTTCACGGCTTGGGCAAAGTCTCACGGGAAGGGTTATAAGTAGTTTTAAGCTAAATGAGGGGATTATTCATATTGTTTATTAAAATACTCTTTGCATGTCCATTATAGGTTTAACTGCCCTGCTGCTGCTAAACTCGGCTCCTGCAAGGCATTTAGGTACTCAGCACCTCACAACCTCTCAACGGCATTCACATGTTTATTGAACAACTGACAATGTCCCGCTTCCCAGCCAACTAACGACAAAATGTTATGAGCTTTCCCAGCCCCTAGTATGGGCAGCCTGACTAAAATGGGTGCTCCCCCACCCGGGCCTGGGTGATGAGCCAGCTTAGGAAAGGGGCCTCTGCAGGGCCGGGCTGTGGGGAAGGAGAGGAAGTAGTTCAGGGAGCGATAGATGCCTTTTTTGGGTAAGAAAACCTCTTCTCTGTTCACATTCAGCTACACCAAGGTGTGGGATTTCTGGTGCCAGACTGTATTTGGGGGCGATGATGGGGGAATTCAGGCGCAGGCAGGGCTTTGGTGCACTTTGCATTCCAGCTGGACAGTCGCCAGCTACACTCCACTCTCCAGGAACTTCTCCCTGCCTTCCACCTTATCAGCTGTCTCATTAGCAGGAGCCCGCACCCCCAGGACCACACGCCGCGCAGGGCCCAGAACACCGTCCAGGAGGACCGTCGCCCCAGACCCACTGTGTCGAGGAGTTCATCTCTCCAGCCCCCTGACTCCGAGCCCCTCCCCGGCCCGCTTCAGACTCCGCCCCCCCTCCGCCCCTTCTCTGCGGTCCGGGCGGACTAACCCGGGAGGGGCGGCCCCAGTCCCAGCGCTGGTCCGGGCGGAGCTCCCGCCCGGGCGGAGCTGCGCCTGCAGCGTCCAGCTGCCGGACCGACCTCCGGGCGTGCAGACCGCGGGAGCGGCGCCGGGCCCCTCCCCCGCGCCCCCAGCCCACCCCGGGCCGCCCGAGCCCCCTCCCCGCTTCTGCGACTGTGCGGGTAAGTCCCACTCTCACTCCAAACTTTTCTGCTGCGGACTTCGAGCTCCCGGCAGGTCTCGAGCTTGCACCGCCGCTGGGGAGCGGGGCGGTGAGGGCTGAGAACCGGCGTCAGCTCCCCGCTGCCCAGGACTCCGCCGCCTCCCTAGGGCGGGGCGGGCCGCTCCATTTCCCGGCCCGGAGAACTTGGTCTTGCAGCCGTGGGCGAGACTCGCACAGGGAGACGAGGGCCCGCGCGGCGGCTCCCCCTCCCCCGAGGGCCGGCCGCGCTCACTT